CGAACAGACAAAAGTTAAAATCGAAAATAAAAACTCGAGTACATCAAAAGTTCTCTTCTTTGGTAAAATTCTAAAAACATAAATCATTTGTATTTAATATTAACTACATTTAACAATTTAAAAAATTTTTGGCATATTAAATTTAAAAATTTATTTAAGGAAAGAAGTGGCATATTTTCACTTAATTTCCTTAAGAAATACCAAGATTATTTGTATAAACCCCACTTAAGTATAGTAGAAAGAAACTCAATATTGATACAACTCTATCTTAAACAAGAATTTTAAAAAGTTACATGTAAAATTTGTGTAAAATTTGATTAATCTATAAAGAGATATAACTTTGATTCAAAATATATAAAGTTTAATAAATAGAAAACGTTTCTTTTCTGCTAAAAGTGCGAAGAAACTATTCATTGATGGTAGGATTCATACAGGAGATAAGAACTGAAGGAAACATTAACGTGTCTACAACTATCTTTAACATCTAAAAAAAAAAAAAAAAGATTGATGTCTTAATTATCTTCGACAAATTACATTCATCATTCTTAAATTTATAAAATATCCTTACACGAAACATTTAAATGATCGTAAAATAAAATTACTGACTATTTACCTTTATAATAATCGCCAAATTTCTTGAATTAATACCGTTAAAATTTTTTACTTTAAAAGTTACTTTTGTTTTTTTAATTTTTATGAAATTTTTTATACTTAGAATTACACACTTTGATGCCTACTTAGTATCATGTTTTAATATCCTGTCTGTCATTTTTTGATATTACTAAGATGAAGATTGATTATCTTTAAACTACTCAACAGAGGTATTAGTTGGTTTAATATTTAAATATTTTTTTTTATCATTTTGATAATTAATTGTAGTTGTTAAGTATAAATTTTAGATTTATACAAATATGTAATTTATTAATTAATTAAATAAAAACTTCACTGAAAATTTATTGTTATTTTTTACTCACCACAACTTCTATTTAACTCATTTTAATTATGCTCCTTTTAAATCTATAAAATTTATAAATTAAAAATAAATGAAAGAAAGACAAAAAAAAAATCAATTAAAATGTAAATAAATTGATCAATAAATGACACTCATTAATTAATTAATCAACTTTAAAGACAATTAATTAGAGTAAAACTAAGAATTTCATTGAATTATAAACAAGTAAAATTTTGGCAGTTAAAACATTAAAATAAAAATAAGAAAAGATGCAATATTCGATTATAAATTCTAATTTTGTATAGAAATAAAAGTAAGTAAATTATTGTGAAAAGTGAATTGAGTTTAAAATAAATTTTGATTTTGTAAAAAAAATTCTTAAACATATTTTTATATTCGAATTCTTATCACCGATTTTGATAGAGGATAGATTATTTGACCTTTCACCCTCGTTTATAAATCACAACATAAATTTAAGTTATTGTTGAAGATGTAAGAGGTTATCTGAAGGTGTTGTTTTTCATAGCCTTTCCTCAGTGTATAAGACTTTCACAGCACCAAGTTTCCAAATTTCTAAACTAAAAAAAGACAAAAATATATAAATACAATAGAAGATTATCCTATTCAATTTTTTAAAATAAACTTTTTAAATAGAAAAAAAATGCCTAAAAATCAATTTAAATTTATGTTTTTTTTAAATTTTAATGAAAATTTTAAAATATATTTACAATTATCATTGTATATAAACTGTACAACTTCGGTCGTACATATTCTAAAATTGGAACGATACATTGTATATAAACGAAAGCATGTAATACAATCCCTTAAAAATGAAGGTGGAAATGCGTTAAAAATCAAGATTAAAACTTAAAAAATAATTTTTAAAATAAAAAAATATATAAAAATTTTGTTTTAGTACTTTTTTTTTATTTTATGAAACGTAATCAGTTATTATTTATCAATAATCTGTAGTTAAATTCAATAATTATGACGCAAATATTAAAATAAAAGTTCCAAAAAGAGCTTTACTAATAAAATCTTATTTAAGTAAACCTTTTAATGATATAGAAAACGTGATTTTAGTTTGTATTGCCTTAACGCGTTTACAGTTTCAAATGAATATTACAATAATAATAAACGGCAAAGACTTTCAAAAATCAAAAAATTAAGAAGACACATTAAATTAAGTAATTTATAAATAAAAAATGTTATAAACGTTTTCGTCTATTTATTCAATTAACTTAAATTTTAGAAAGTAAATCAAAATTTAATTTATTGGTAAATTAATTTTTTTTTTTACAGTGATATGACTTTACGAGCAGAATTAATAAAATACCTAATTTTTTTAATGTACTGTATATAAATTTAAATATTTTAATATTTTTTGAAGCGTGTCACGTGTTCCATTATTAAAAAAATTTTATATGTTTCAGAAAATATTAAACATATCTATTAAATTTAAATATGTAACCGGTTCAGACACCGTTATTTTGTAGGAATTATCACATGACTCCAAAAATACTAGCCAATTAAATTCATTAAAATATTTTAAAGCATTTCTATAATGGAGGGTTCTGAAACTAAAATCCGGGATGTTCAAGTCCCTTATATAAAATAGCATTGGTCTACCTACGTACAGTACATCCTTCCGTATAATTTTAATCATTTTTAGATTACTTATAACATCAAATACAATATAAATGCTTTGTAAATAGTCATTATACTGTACTTTTTAGGGAATAATGACAAGAAAAGAATTTGTATAGTACATGTTTAGTACAACGTAATCATCGTAAGTCTAACTTCGTAGTGCACGTCAACAATGATGTAACATTTTCTTTCAACATTTACAGATTGTTTTCATTTAATGATATAAAAGAGAAATAAATAGAATGAAAAATAGAATACTTAAAATAGAAACATATTCAAGTTTTGCTTCGAGCAACTCTCCCGAATATTTTCGATCCGCGGATGGTTGAATTTGTGGATAACGGAAGGACCGACTATAAAAAAAAAAATATTTAAAGTATACTTTAGATTTAAGTGTTTCTTTGTATAGTTGAATCCTTTCAGGTAACATTTTTTTAAAAATTAATTCCGCTATAAAAAAATTGATGTTATAGTATTAAAATAACGTAAACTAAACCCCGAGGACATTTAATTAGTCAAAAAGTATTTTATCAACTTTAATTTATTATATGTACAAAAATTAATTTTTTAAATTTTAATTTGTGGTTCTGACTTTTTATTTTATAAATTCTAAAAAAAAACTGTGATTAATTCTAATGTNTGGTCAGTACTTTCGATTTGTTTTTATAGACAAATATTTTTTAAGACATTCTATTTCTATCGAAATATATTTGAAAAACTAAATAATATAAAGATTTTCAATACGTACACTATAATTCCAAATTTATCAAATTAAATATAAAAGTTTTCGGTTTAAATTTCTGTATTTTAAAATAACATGAATCTGGATTTTAATTGTAAATTTAAATAAATAAATAAAAAAGTTTCTTATTTGAGTTACTCATCATCTTCATGAATAGTCATGGTTTAGTCTAAAGCTTTAATTTTACATTAATATACCACACCTTGCTTAAAAGTGACACAATTAAAAAATTTAAGTTTCTATAAAAATGAAAAAAAAAAACACCTGTTTTATACATAATAATAAGCCTTATATTGCTAATCAGATTATTCAGCAATAACAATAATGCTCCTAAAATTAGAATTAATTGTTTTTGTTGTTAAAAAAAAAACAATTACTTGTATTTTCTAAAAACCTACGTCACTTTTGAAACTGTTCTAAATTTTCATATTCCAATAAATATTCTAAAAACAGTCATTAAAATTGTATAATAATTCACGTTTAATTTGCTAAATATATCAATGTATTTAAAAAAATTTTATAAACTCGTAACAGCATTAAACACTAAAATTTCCAAACAAGTTTTTGAAATTTTAATCTGTGAAATTTTCGAAAACTGACTGTAAGAAAGTATTTTTTTTTTTCGGACAAAATTATTAATTAATTCTGAGGGTTTATTTTTTAACATGCTAAAATCGGAAACAAGATTTTTAATTCAAAAATAATATATTAAGAAAATATTTCTTAAAATAAAATAAAGAAAAATTGTAGCATTAAAAAAAAAATTAATTTCACGTCAAATCAAAACATATTTCAGACAGTCGAGAAATGAAAAGTTTTCGTTTCAAAAAATATCATCTCTCTCTGCATTTCTAATTTAAAGAAAGAATTAGTTATCACTAGATAAATTTTTGGAAATTTTTGTCTATCAAAATAAATTAAATCTTATCAAACGAAACATTTAATTTGTTAATAAAATTTAATGTTAACGCTTAAAATGCAAGCATTCAGTTTGTAAAAAATAAATCGAATTCCAAACATTTAAAGCTCAATTAACAACTATTAATTATTAAAACAATAAAGTTTTATTTTAAATTTATAAAAAAATAGAAATTTGTTAGAATTATATTTATTAAATAAATAGATATTTATTGTATTTTTTATATAAAAATATTAAATCTTTTAAGTGTATAAAATGTTTATCCACCTATTTCCCGGAGACAGTTACCGTTAAATCATAAGAAGTATTAGCTTAAACTTCACGAAATTTTTAAAACTTTATACTGTTTAAGCGACTTTTTAATTTATTAGTATTTTTAAGCGTACAGTAAAAGTAGAGTAAAATTATATACAACCCAGTAACGGTTTATGTTCCCTTGAAGTTCTAGGCGCAATTTTGTTATAAGACCCTTTATAGTGTTTTTTAAATATTAAAAAACAATAAATTCCTTAAATAATAACAATTCTTTTCTTTATAATATAGTCTGCATTTTTTAAACTTTCAGAGGCATATTACCTTTTTTCCATGTAATTTTTGAGGATCCTCGAGACGACGAGGCCCTAGGCGCGCTCCTAGTGCGTAATCTGCTACTGATATAATTAATCCTCGATACAAATGACAGAGAGGTGGATATTTGATGACGAAAGAAGTAGAGAGAAGTGTGATTGGTTCGACGATTAGGAGAGGCGGATCGAGGAATTTGATAAAAAGGAAGCGCAAAATTGAGCAAATGCAATTTTTGGAAGATAGAAACAAGATCAAAGATGATGTTCGGAATCTGGATCTTGTGTGGAACCGCTTTCTTTTATTGCCACGTTGATGCTTTCATGGTAAGAATACGCATTTCATACACTTCATTTGTATTTTTACAAAGTTTAAAACTGTTGAATTTCTAAAAGAAAACAACATTAAAAATAAAATATATAGATCCATATTTATCTAATTTATAAATAATACCTTTTTTTATAATTACTATAAATATTTTTTTATTGTTATTTAATTTAATGTTTCTTTCAGAGTAAGCATAAAACTAATTGCTCGTTTAAGTACGCAACATTTTTTGTTGAATGTTGGCTTTAAGTATTTAATGTTTTATTCCTTAAGCCATTTATTTATTAGTGCTCTTGATGAGGGATTTATCGATTATTTTTAATGTTATGGCGTTAATCCTTGGTAAACACTTAAAGTTGCTATTTTTTTCTTATATTCACAATTCTTGAATAATTCATAAATTGCAGAAATAATTATTTTTAAAGTGATTAAATTTACATGCTACTTTCGGATTTATTTTACGTTAAAAAATATATTTATTTGTCTTAAAATAAAATAATTAAAATGATTATATCGCATAACGGCTTAATAAATGATTTTTTTTCTATAATAATTATAAATATTGTTAAAAGTCCCTCTAAAAATATTCATTATTTTTAAAGTTTGCTTGGTATTATTTAATTTTGATCATTTTGGTGTTATCTGAAAAGTTTAAAAAAGTTTTTCTCCAAAAATGTCCAACTTTATCAATTTTTAAGAATAAATAATATGTAATACAAGAATCAAAATTGGAATTACCTTTTAAAGTCTTCACTTAGCTATAAGCTTTCTTTAATGAAAAACTTTAATAAGGAAGAACGAGGAAATGAAATTTTACAAATAATTAAGTAATTAAGATAAAAAGTAAAAGAAATGTCATTTAAATAATTGATTAAGGAAAGATTTTCCAAAGAAATTCGGTTCTGAAATCGATGTGGAAAGAAGGATTAAGCTTTTCAATTGTATCAGAAACGATATCTAAAATTCCAAATCCCAAATGCTTTTGTGAAAATTCAAAATTTGACACATTTTTAGTCATTTATAAATCACACTTTTGTGTGATCTCATATATAAAGCAATTGATTAGCTGTATAGTAAGTTCTATTTCCAAAAAAAAAAAGGAGGAAAGAATCCGAATTCCGAACCGCTTTCTATAAAGCTCAGACTTGAAAAATGGGATAAAATTGTTATTTTAATTAATGCGAAATTATTGATTTTCTCAAATTTCAAGTTAAAATATATATATATACATATAAATTTTTTAAAATGTTTTCGAAAAATACCATGTTCTAAACCTTTTTACTGATGATTTATTGCTGTCGTGTTAACGATAAATAGCAAAAATTCTCATATATTTTCATTTTTACTGCTCACTTCTTGTAAATGATGGTCAGTACTTTCGATTTGTTTTTATAGACAAATATTTTTTAAGACATTCTATTTCTATCGAAATATATTTGAAAAACTAAATAATATAAAGATTTTCAATACGTACACTATAATTCCAAATTTATCAAATTAAATATAAAAGTTTTCGGTTTAAATTTCTGTATTTTAAAATAACATGAATCTGGATTTTAATTGTAAATTTAAATAAATAAATAAAAAAGTTTCTTATTTGAGTTACTCATCATCTTCATGAATAGTCATGGTTTAGTCTAAAGCTTTAATTTTACATTAATATACCACACCTTGCTTAAAAGTGACACAATTAAAAAATTTAAGTTTCTATAAAAATGAAAAAAAAAAACACCTGTTTTATACATAATAATAAGCCTTATATTGCTAATCAGATTATTCAGCAATAATAACAATAATGCTCCTAAAATTAGAATTAATTGTTTTTGTTGTTAAAAAAAACAATTACTTGTATTTTCTAAAAACCTACGTCACTTTTGAAACTGTTCTAAATTTTCATATTCCAATAAATATTCTAAAAACAGTCATTAAAATTGTATAATAATTCACGTTTAATTTGCTAAATATATCAATGTATTTAAAAAAATTTTATAAACTCGTAACAGCATTAAACACTAAAATTTCCAAACAAGTTTTTGAAATTTTAATCTGTGAAATTTTCGAAAACTGACTGTAAGAAAGTATTTTTTTTTTTCGGACAAAATTATTAATTAATTCTGAGGGTTTATTTTTTAACATGCTAAAATCGGAAACAAGATTTTTAATTCAAAAATAATATATTAAGAAAATATTTCTTAAAATAAAATAAAGAAAAATTGTAGCATTAAAAAAAAATTAATTTCACGTCAAATCAAAACATATTTCAGACAGTCGAGAAATGAAAAGTTTTCGTTTCAAAAAATATCATCTCTCTCTACATTTCTAATTTAAAGAAAGAATTAGTTATCACTAGATAAATTTTTGGAAATTTTTGTCTATCAAAATAAATTAAATCTTATCAAACGAAACATTTAATTTGTTAATAAAATTTAATGTTAACGCTTAAAATGCAAGCATTCAGTTTGTAAAAAATAAATCGAATTCCAAACATTTAAAGCTCAATTAACAACTATTAATTATTAAAACAATAAAGTTTTATTTTAAATTTATAAAAAAATAGAAATTTGTTAGAATTATATTTATTAAATAAATAGATATTTATTGTATTTTTTATATAAAAATATTAAATCTTTTAAGTGTATAAAATGTTTATCCACCTATTTCCCGGAGACAGTTACCGTTAAATCATAAGAAGTATTAGCTTAAACTTCACGAAATTTTTAAAACTTTATACTGTTTAAGTGACTTTTTAATTTATTAGTATTTTTAAGCGTACAGTAAAAGTAGAGTAAAATTATATACAACCCAGTAACGGTTTATGTTCCCTTGAAGTTCTAGGCGCAATTTTGTTATAAGACCCTTTATAGTGTTTTTTAAATATTAAAAAACAATAAATTCCTTAAATAATAACAATTCTTTTCTTTATAATATAGTCTGCATTTTTTAAACTTTCAGAGGCATATTACCTTTTTTCCATGTAATTTTTGAGGCTCCTCGAGACGACGAGGCCCTAGGCGCGCTCCTAGTGCGTAATCTGCTACTGATATAATTAATCCTCGATACAATTGACTATAACGGTGTAGTCTTTTAGTACCGAATATTCGTTATATCGAAGGGCTGCCAATATATTTGATTTTAATATATTATATCACTAAGAGCAACAGAAATAAATGTCAAAATTAAAACAATCCTAATAATAATAAATAATGTATAATAAATGTATCGAGTTTACTCATACGAACATGGTCCTAATCTAACAACAAAGTACAGGTAGCCTAAATGCCTAAAACTTCTAAAAGTAACAAATAAATGACAACAAATTTATTGTTTTACTACAAGAATACTGTATTTAAAACAATTTGAGGGATTATAGAGTTTTCCTTTAAGGAAATGAAAGTAAGAAGAAATATAAGTCTTTAACAAATGTTTACAAAAAGGTTTTCCATATATTTTTGAATATTTTTATTTTATTCTACAATACTTGGTCCGGAAGTTTCATATATCGGAGACCGTTATATCGAGGTGGCCTATACATCCACAACGTCTAAAAATAGATTATTGTAGGGATTTTTTTTTTTTGATAAAGAATAACTTTTTAAATCGCAAAAAAGAAGAGAAAATTGTTGACGTCTTTCCTAGTTTGATCAAAAATATTAAATTTTCCATCTAAAAAAATTTTATTTTACTTTCTTTGATTTAAAATCTGTTTAAAAGCCTTTTTTATATTCCTAATTGATATTGGAATTTATTCGAAAATGTAATTCTCTATTCAAATAAAATTTAATATTCCCTATGAAAATATATTTTAAAAGATTTCACATAAATTTCATTTATATCCAATTGAGCATTAACTTTTAAGAGATTTTATTCTAGAACAAACAGTTAAAAGTACTATATAAAAATTTTTCCAAAGTGAAAAAACAATTATTGATAATAGTCTAATAACTTTAATTTATATAAAGAAATTAAATGATAATAAATCAATTTTTTAATTAACGGAAACTAATCATAAAAAATTGAGAACAATTTTGTCAACTTTAATTTTGGGAAGTTGAAGATAATATTAATCATATCAAAACTTTCGATTCGAATTTTGGAGTGGCCACTTGTGATTTTATCAAACGGAAATAAAACAAACAGAAGAAAATTATTTAATTTGGAACGAATCGAGATAAAGATTTGAAAAGCAAACAACAAAAAAAAAACAAGAAAGAAAATTAAATGATTGTTTAGTGATTAAACGGAAGAGGAAATCCTAAAAAACCGTTCCATTGTTTACATTTATTTGACGCAACCTTTATGGTTTTTTAACCTGCAATACACAAAAATTCGTATTAATTATTGTACGCAACCGCTTCTTAATATTGTTACGTACGATAACTTTGATGACGTATTCGTTGCCACAATTGTTACGTAGCGGAAGAACATTAATTTCCCATTCAGGATGTCGTTTAAATATTTGATCGTTTTGAATTAACCAATCATATTTTACAAATTCAAGTTTTCCAATCCTTTATATAACTGGACGCGACATTTATTTTTAATTAAAGCTCGGTTTTATATTAAAAAATAATCATAAAATATTCAAATCATATTTCAATAACCTATATACATTTTTAATAATATTTTTTGAAAAATCTTTTTAAATAATTTTTGCCCTTTGGTATTCAATTTTTGAATTTTTGAAAAGATTCTATTGGATATTCTCATATAAAAGAGGATTACAATTTTTTTGTGTTATTCTTATTTTTTCAAGTTTAAAAAAAATTTAATCTGAAATATACTAAGAACATATTTTCTAATAGTTTTTTTTTTTTTAAATAATACATCTCATAGTAAAATTTCTTAGTACATACTTATAAATATCTAATGATATTTAATGATAGGAAATGTGCTGAGTTGGTTTTAGGTAAGTTGACTTATCAATGAGATTTCTAACTTTAATAATTGATTTGACGTTAAGAAGCGTGCACAGAATCCAATGACTTAGCATTTCGTCTTGTTTATAAATTTAACTATTTTAATCCAACATTAATTAAATTCAGATTTATTATAATTATTATTTTTTTAATAAAATAAATTTGGACTCATTTTTAATTACCACTTCCGAAATTTCTTATTTTTATGTTAAAAAAATAACTCTTTTAGTTAATAAATGTATTATTACTATTATAAAAACAACAGTAAACTTTTAAAATAATTTTTTGTTATAATTTGTTTAATATAATTTAAATAAATTATAGAAAAATTTACTGTTTCTAGACTTAGAAAATATTGAAATTTTAAAATTCTTGCTGATATTTAAATGATTTAATAAATTTTATAGTTTATATTTCTTTTAAACCATTTAAAAAAAAATTAATTCTAGAGTTTTACACGAATATTTCAGATCAGAGTTATTAAATAACGTTACTTTATTTAGTTGACACTATTTACATAAATCTGTTTGTATAAGCAGATCGATAAAAATATTTATAAGATTATATATAAGTTTATATATTTAAATATATTTTTTAAATTCTGAAACCATTTTCCTATCACCTGATTAATTAGGCTATAGTTAAAAGTTTCATGAAACTTCAATAATAATTTTATCATTTAAAACATCTTTCTAGAGTATCAAGTTCCTATTATTAAAATTTTTTAGATTTAATGTGTTATTTATATTATTTGTAACATTATATTTTAAATTTAGGAATATAGTAATATGGTACCTGGATACAACGCCCTGATACGACGATCGCAGAAAGAACCTTGGTGGAAAGGAAGAATGTTCGATGATTTAGGTTACAATCAAGCGTATCTGGTCAAAAGAAATTTCGATGAAATAGATAATGTGGGGTTCAACGATTTCGGACCGGGCACCGGACGTTCTTGGTTACCCAAACGAAATTTGGAGTTGCCAAGTTACAACTCCAGGAGATTAGTCAAGAGATCTTCACCCCCTTCCGATGACGATATGATGGAAAGCAAAAGGCAAGAAATCGATGAAATCGACAAATCCGGTTTCGGGGGTTTCTTCAAACGTAACTTCGATGAAATTGATCGAAGTGGTTTTAATGATTTTGGAAAACGTAAATTCGACAGGTTTAGACTTGTTAGGAGAGCCGATGACGATAATTAATTGTTTCTTTGTATTTTCGTTATATATCTTACCCTCCGACCTTTTAAATTAATTCTTTGTATAAATTATGGGTTTAAATCATATGTATGAAATAAAAATTTAGTGTTTGAACTCTATTTTGAATTTCCTTCATTTTACTGTTCGATTCAAATTCATTCATTCATTATAACAGAGTAAAATGAAAGAACATCATTGTACAATTGTCTGTAGAAATATTAAATAACATTTTTAGATATAATAATAAACAGAAATAACGTAGTAATATAAAGTTAATGCGATGATATTATTTTTTTTTATAATATTTGAGATTTTAATTTTAAAAATTAATTTGTACAACGTTACAATGATAAAATATAATGTATAAAGTAAAATTATCGATTTAACAAGCAATTTAATACATAGGAATAATATAAAAACATTTAAATAAATTCATTAACTACAGATTTCGGATGAAATTTGAAAATGTAAGCGTTAAACAATTTGAAAAGTTTGAAATCTCATTATTAATCTAAAGATAAACTTGTGTTAAGCTCTTTAGAAGTGATTGTATTTAATTAATTACACTACGGATAGGATTTAGACAAGGCGCATGAATCGGTGCATTTTCAAAATGGATCATCAACCATAACTCTAACTGAATGGACGGTTGGTAAGCAGTTCAAACGAACCGACCTATTTTGTAATTCTCAAGATTAACAATTAACATTAGTTTGTTCTTTAATGGGTGCTGATATAATTTAAAGTTCAACAGTTTAATAGGCCTGATTTTCAACATGGAAGCACGTGTAATTAGGAATCTTATACGTCATAAGGTCACTTATTTGGTCACAACGTCGTTCGTCTATAATATATATATATATGACTATTTACAAGGTAAGTAGGTCGTGTTATATGATATACATTAATAATATTAATATAAGGATCTAATCTCTAAAAAATTAAATTAATTTTTTTCTATACAATAGATAAGTTAGACCATTTGTCAAACGCGAAGGTAAACGCATAAATACATCTTGTGGAAAGATATTTTCATCATAAAACTCTAGATCCGAAGAGGGTGCGCTGAAAAATTTCTTTATTTTTGGAAAATTAATGTCTTGTTTTCCATCTTGCGGCTGTCATGTAAAAAAAAAATTCTTAGCCTTTTATATTCGAAACTGATGATTTAAATTAAATGATATGTTAATACCTGAATTTTTTCCACGTTTACATCGACTTGGTTAATTTCGGGTGACGTTAATCTTTCGGAACTAATGTTACTTGGACAGACAGCACCACTATCTGAACGCCATCTGAAAAAATAATATATACTTTTAAATATATTTCACGCCAAACAAACAACGGTAGGTGTTATAAATATTTATAAAAACATTTATATATAAATGCTACAGATAAATTTACGTGATACGAAATAAATAATGAATTCAACGACTATATTACTTAATTAATTATCGAAACATCTTAAGTGTCTGTAAATATTGGCAATGATGAATAATAATTTATATTACACAAGTGAGGAAGATATCGTTTACTAAATTTATGGCTTTATAAATAAATGAAAATAACTCACTTTTGATGAATTTTATCACAATTCCGAATATTTTCAATTTTGGAGACAAAACTGTCTGTAGAACCATTCGAACTGAGGCAAGAGATCATATCTTGAGATACTATTTTACATTTCTGTTTTCTTATTTGAGTAGAAGCTACCATTTGACGTCTAAACTCGATTAGATTTTTTAAGTGGGACTTCGAACATACACGATTGCACAAACAACTGCTATGTCCCGATTTTAAAAGGCTTACAACGTCAGACATCAACTGTATCAATTGATGTTTCGATTTGGAATTATCTTTTAGATTTTCTAATTGCGCGATATCTTTCTGCTGCGTAGTTTGTGTTGCAGCATCCTTATTCTGTCTCTCTACTTCTAACTGACTGAGAAACTCAGCATATACTGAATCTATAGACAGAGTTCTTGGTGAAGTGGAATCATCTTCCGAAGCAATCTTTTTAGGCAGAAACACGAAGGTGAAACTTTCTGTCGACGCACTAATTTCTTCGTCTTTTTTCACAACAGAAACTAAACTATCTTCAGAATAATCTAAACTAGAATCTGATGTGCTTAGTTCGCATTTATTCTTCAAACTATCCGTGGAAAAATTTTCTCGTTTTTTTATTTTTAATTCGTTCTTGCTGGGAAAGTGTACTTCGGTACAACTTCTAAACTCTATTTTGACTTTATCATCATTATTTTCGTCCCATTTGAAGTTTTTCTTGCTCAGGCCACAAATCGCTGCTTGAAAAAGTTTAAAATTTGGTGACGAACCTAGTTTATTGATGTCCGAATCACTGTAAGAATATCTTTTTAATGTACGTTTCTGTTTTCTACATCCGAGAGGAATCTTCCGATAAATGTAATTTCCTTCTTGTTTACTATTGATTTTATCTTTTAAAGCGACCAAATATTTTGATGTTAGTAAACCTGGAAAGTTCGGCGACAAAGACATATTTGCATTCGACATATTTTCTTGGTTTGACAAATTAGATTTCAGTAAATCCGGTTGAGGAATATAAGCGGTATCACATTCTGAAATAGGGAAAAGGTAAAAGAAATTATAATGGATAAAGTTATGAGCTGTGTATATGGGATGATATCGATCTTATAGTACTGTTGACTTTCTAAACTTGGATGCACAGTTGCTAGTTTAATATTGATCTTCAACTTTAATATTTACATATTTTGATCCTTGAAAGTTTTAAATTTTGTATTTATTCATTTATATAACATTTAATCATTATAATGGTAAATATAGTTTTTAAATTTTTTTAATCATGAGAAAACTACAAGAAATATAATTGAAATTACAAAACATTAAGTTTTAAAAATATATTTACCTGTATTATTTACATTTTCTAATGAATCCTGCAAAAGAAAAAAAAAATTAACTCGAAAAAAAAATTACTTAAAAATATTCTTACCTGAACCGAAGAAACCTTCTCAATGGTAGAAATTGTTTCATTAGTTTCCGGAACCTGGGTGTAAAAATTAATTATCCAATTTTAAAATTTTGTTTAAAACGTCTTCAAAAAATTCATAAGAAACAAAATGCGTTTAAATGAAATTAAATGTATTAATTAATGTCGATTATAAATTTATATCGTAAATTTCGTCGTTAAAATGGAAATCTTACTTGTTTACTATGAAGAAGGATTTCTTTCAAATGGCTAACTTCACATTTTAAATGATCCAATAAATGTTTGGCTGGAGTCTAGAAAAATAGCAATATTCTAACTAAAAAATTATATGCACATGAATTTTAAATATATATTTTCTCTAAATTTAAATACTTGATTAATTATAGGTCTGTTGACAATACTCTTCACTCTTTGAGCATATCTGAGAGTGTTAATTGTTTCACTACAATATGCAGATGATGGAGATATAGCTTAAAATCAAATTTGAAATTCATATAAATAATTTCAATAAATTCAATAAATGTGAAATCATATTTAAAATCAAGTTATTTGATTTTAAATATGATTTCACATTTAACTATTAAACAATTACATTAGGGGCTGTCCATAAATGACGTCCACATTAGAAGGGGGAGGGGGTTATGACAAGTCGGAGGGGAGAGGTTGAGTGTCAATGGACATCCATTTATTTCATCAAATCTTATACACTTTATAAATTTTATTCCATTTATTTCAAAATTTTTTGTATGTTTTGTTTCTACTTATAGTATCTATAATTCATAAATTGATAAAGGTTTTAAGGGAGTTGAGTTTTGTTGGACGTCCGAAGATGGGAGGGATTACGGAAACTTGGACAATTTAGGCCAAGAGGGAAGGGGGAATTAAAATTTCAAGAAAAATGCGGACGTAATTTATGGACAGCCCCTTATTTTTATAAACATTTTTTTAATTCTCAATTTTATTTTTCATCAATACCCGTTTAAATAAATAAATAAATAAATAAACTTACTTGCCAACATAAAAGTGAAAGAATTGCCACCCAAAGAATCTTTCAATAACCAAGTCAGAACTGAATCTCTATAAGGAACGAATTTCGATTCTCGATTGGCTTAAGGAAAGAGTAATAAAGTTATCCTTTTTTCTTCTTTTTTAAATATCAACAAGTATTCTGTTGTTTACTTACCCAAAGAAGTTATGACAATTCCCAACGTAGTTAGAGATTTATTGATATTCGAAGTCGCACTGATACAGTTCTGATCGGCTTGTGTGTTTGGACGTTCACTAGAGTTTAAGGATAGAATTTAGATTCTTTTTATTTTAAAATCGAAAAAAAATGTTTAAAAATATTCTTTATCATCAGTACAAATTGTTATGAAGCATTCAAATCCCATTAATGGATTTATTGTAAAGATTCTAAAGTAATGTGTAAAACGAAAAATACCGTTTAAAACATATTCTTTTTTCTTTTAAATACTCTTTCAAAATACTGTAGAAAGTTTTTAATTCTGGTAAACTAACTAACAACGAAAAAGATGAGTTTTAGTATTTTCTAAATTTTAAAATCCTATAAAATTTAGTTTCTGCCACTCATTAATAATAATTGTGATCTTTTAAATACATTGAGTTGAATATTATAGAACAATATTTGTCTGTAAAAGTGGTATTAAATTTTAAAAAATATATAACTTTATTTATCATAAACTCTGTCTTCCTTTAAAATTTTAGTGTCCATTTAAGGTTAAAATAAATAAGCAATTCTTTCTAAAAAATAAATAAAGCATTCTCTATATTTAAACATATGAAAAGTTTGTAGGTAAGTTTATTATTTTTTTACATTGTCTGATTAATTTTATAGAAATTGTTTAATAATAATTTGTTATTAAAAGAAAGAACAATTTAGACAAGTCAGTTAACAATCCAAAAGAATGCCTATCTACTTTATGGAAAATAACTTTAATCAGATTCTTCCGTTAAATTTTTGCATACAATAATGAAATTTAATTGAAAATTTAAATATCTATCAAACCCACCTTGCAGCAAGATCAACTAAATGCAATTTACTATTTATTTCTCGAACTCCTTTTTCGTCTAAAAGTATCTAAAATAATTAAACATTTTGTAATATTTAAAGCAATTTTAAAATATTAAATTTGAAAACAGAACAAACCTGGTTACATTTGATAGTGAATATCGTATGACTTCTATTCTTTCTGGATGGTGTAATAGATTTATTTCTGAAAAATACCAATTTATCAGAAAAAAATTACTATTGAAAAAAAACAGAAATCTATACACCATTTTACTACAAAATGATACCACGTCCACGGGATATCAAAAGTTACTGAAATGTAATTAATAGCGAACAGAAGTTTAGCGTTTTCAATAAAAACGCTAAATTTATTTTCTATAATTTCATTGTTTTAATATTTAATTTTTACAATTTATTACTGAGTTTTATGAAATTGTACATTTACAATATACTTCAAGGAGTAAAAGAATCAAACTAACATGTTACTCTTGCAATTCAAACAACAAATGATTATAGTTTATTATTTGAATTCGTATGCATTAACAAACAAAAACAATAAAAAGTATTTTAATAGTTTTTCTTTAAAAAACATACGCTTAAATAATTACAGGAACTAAATGATAATAGAAATAACAATGAATCTAACTTACCTTCTTTCTACAATTTGTTCGATGAGACTCGTTACTGAATGACTATCTTTCACAACCTGATGACTTAGTCCTAAAAAATAACGAAATTATTATATTTTATTTTATACATAAAATTAAATATTATATATTAGCAATTTTAAGATCTACCATCAATATAAGGTCCATGTAAAGGATGTTCTCTTATTCGAAGATTCTTAATATCCGAAGAGGGATGTATAAGATCATAAACTTTTTCATTGTATATATCCATGCAACTAAAACAATTGAAAATCTAGATATTATATATAGTAATTTTTTCTTTAGTTGAATGGTAAAAACTCGTGTAAAATCTTAAACGTTATTTTTATTCATTAATCATTATATAAATAATTTAATTATTACATTAATTCCTTTAACTCTACCTGAGTTCTACGCGGAAAGTTAATCTGTTTCTTTGGTTTTCTGGTTGAAATATTTCCTAATCAAAAATAAAATGAACATTAAACTAACGATTGATATATTATGTAAAATAATGTCTTACCTGAGTTAGAAGTGGTATCAGTCCAGGATTATCCTGTTAAAAACACAACAAACAACTTAATTAATTTTAATAAATTATTTATTTATTTATAAATAATAACACTAAAATTTTGAACTCACCGCATTTCCCAACATCGTATAAGTTTTTCCAGAACCGCTTTGACCATAAGTAAATAAACAGCAATTGTAACCATCCAGAATGATTTTAAGAATGTCTTTCCCCAACTGATCATAAATCTAATAATAAAAATATTTTAATAAACTTTAAAATATAAAAATTCATTTCATTAAAGAATTAATAGTTATTAATGTTTGTTATGCAAAATATTATACTATGTAAACATTTTGAAACCGTGGAAGATAAATTATATATTTATACTTTACTCGCTGTTCTTAAAGATCAAACTTAACTGTTAATAAATGTCACGAGAAGATCCACTGAGAATAATTCAAAATTATTTCAGGAAAAGTTTAAAATTTTAAATACAATTTCAAAACCTTACGAATTAATTTATTAAAAATAGCTTATACTAATAAAATTATTTAAAGTAAAAATTATATGCTATACAGATCTGTATACGGCATATATACATACAACTAAATTTTTGAAAATAATACTGTATATATTAGTATTATTTTCAAAAATTTTGTTAAAAATTTACATTTAAAATAACCAAACACTTTTTATGGTAGTGGAAAAAACAAAAACTTACTTGACGTTGTCCGACATATCTAGATGAAGTAGTATCAACGGACCAAAAACAATAATCAAATTTAAAATAATGCACACGTTGCCTGTGATCATAATCTTGTCCAGATGGAACCTACAATGCAACGAAAGAAAAATATCAACAAAAGTTCAAGTTGGTTATAGAAACGATGAAGATTATCCCCCCGCGGGCAATGTGATCGTCTAACTTCGACCTCCGACCTGGCATTCACGTGACTATTTGCAATTCGACTCGTTTCCTAAATTAGCAGACGTTAACATCCTCGCGATGCAAATCTTTATGGATGTATAAAGGAAGAAAAAAAAAAAAAGAAATAACTAGCAGAAGACTAATCAAATAAGCTTAGAAAGGAAGATGTCAGTCATTAATGTCCTCGTCACGACGCGGACAAACCGGAAATGACGTTCTCGTCACTTATTAATGACGTTAATCAATTGGCTAAGATGTCCATCAGAAGCAGTTGACAAAACGAATATTTTCTGTTAACATGAATGTATTCCAGATACTATTAATTAATTATAAATTATAAAGTTCATTTTAAACAATAACTTACTCTAAAATCTGTGACCACAACAGTTTTTTCTTTAGTGTCAACTGATATTTTTTCATTCGAATTCTCTCTATAAATAAGAAAACAAGCATTTTAAAAATCACACAAAAAAATATATAATTTTAATTTTATAACTTATAATAAACTGATGTAAACTAAAAACGAATATAATGAATCTGCTTCAAATAAAATATACAAATGCTGACATAAATTAAATTCCGTTAATTAGAAAGCAAAAGATTGATTTTCAAAATCAACATTTCTTAAATTCAAATCCACAATTTGCCTTTACAGTATAGTTTAATAAATTTACTGCACTGTAAATCTACGGGTTTTCTGATTTACGATACTGTATTTATACTTTTTTACGAACTAACTTTATTCTACGTAGTATATAAGTAAATACAAAAAATATTTCCAGGATAATTTTTATAACATTTATTCAATTCAATTCAATCGATATAACTGTCTGTTCTTCCATCTTTATTAAAAAATAAATAAAAGTAAAATAAAAAACTGTTTAAAACTATTCATTTTTTTCATTATATAGATCTATGTATAGATACATAAATTTAATGGAAAATAACTTTAATCAGATTCTTCCGTTAAATTTTTGCATACAATAATGAAATTTAATTGAAAATTTAAATATCTATCAAACCCACCTTGCAGCAAGATCAACTAAATGCAATTTACTATTTATTTCTCGAACTCCTTTTTCGTCTAAAAGTATCTAAAATAATTAAACATTTTGTAATATTTAAAGCAATTTTAAAATATTAAATTTGAAAACAGAACAAACCTGGTTACATTTGATAGTGAATATCGTATGACTTCTATTCTTTCTGGATGGTGTAATAGATTTATTTCTGAAAAATACCAATTTACCAGAAAAAAATTACTATTGAAAAAAACAGAAATCTATACACCATTTTACTACAAAATGATACCACGTCCACGGGATATCAAAAGTTACTGAAATGTAATTAATAGCGAACAGAAGTTTAGCGTTTTCAATAAAAACGCTAAATTTATTTTCTATAATTTCATTGTTTTAATATTTAATTTTTACAATTTATTACTGAGTTTTATGAAATTGTACATTTACAATATACTTCAAGGAGTAAAAGAATCAAACTAACATGTTACTCTTGCAATTCAAACAACANTTTTTCATTGTCTCTCTCTTTTTTAAGGGATTCAATATTTTCTTCTGCGTCCGGGGCCTCAACACACCTTAATCCGCCTCTGTATAAAACAGAATTTCATCGATTTAGAAACACTTGAAGCTAATTAAATGACAATAAGTTTGACATTGATTTTTCCTTCATTTTTATGAATCAGTAAATATACCACTATTAAAGTGAATCAGTAGAAAATTTATTAGCGACGTCATAAAATTATTTTAAACATAATTTATGAGTAATAATAATAATAATAATAATAATTTAATGTTTAAACATAAACAAGTTTTTAAATGTACTTAAAAAGTTAATATGAGCTTAATTTTATATAAACAGTTTATTGATTCAGATTAACAATGCACAATAATCATTTTTTGTACTGAGTGATATTAAAGAAGTGTAATATAATCATTAATTTAAAATCATAAAGTTTCATTTTGATAATTTAGCTTTATTGTATGATTTAACAAGTAAGATACTTTTATGAAACGATAAAGCTGGCATTTTGCTTACTGTATATATTGTTTAGAATGGTAACTACTATTTATGATTTACGTCACATAACATAATCACACACTATAAATGTAGATGATATAAATGAAGATTTATATTATAAAGTGAAATGATAGGCTGATATAAAAAGGATGTGATTACAAAATCGGAAAAAATGACACAAAATTTATTTTAATCAATAGATTAGTAACATTAAGGTTATAGATGTATAAATATATAATATTAAAAATGTATCAATGATAAGAATTAGCCTAAATCTATGTTTATTCTGGAATATTTTAACATTTATTGTTTAATATTTAACATGTATATTTTTAATGTATGACCATCATATGTAGTCCTATAAATGCTATACTTAGGGAGAATAAAATGGTAAATTTTCTATATTATTCTCATTAATTACTATATTACGAGTGTATTAAATTAAAGAAACGAAAGTATAAATAATTTGTATAGGATAAAAAAGCGAAACCCGATCCGAAGATTATCTGTGGATAGCGTAAAGTGGAAAACTTTGTAACGAATTACGTAACACAAGGTACACAGTCGACAGTAATTTAAGAGCAGGTAGACAGTGCACAGGTGCTGCTACATACCTGTTATCGAGCGGTCGTAGTCGAACTGCAACTTTTATGTTAGCCATCTTCTATGTCACGTGACTCTAATGCGTCTTCCTAGCCGAAGGGCAAACAGTGCCAGCTAGAGGCGACCGGTTAAACTATTTGGCAGACGTACAAAGAATCGTCTGTTCTCAATAATTGTAAACATCGATTTCACAAATACAATTCTTTATAAAAATTTCCGTTTAATATTACTTTTTTTAAAAATGAAAAAATAAAATCTTAGTTATTTTTTTTGTGCTTATGATTAGTTGTGAGAAATAAATCGAAAATTTTAATTTGTAATAAAATAATTTTCAAAGTTACTCATAAATTATTTTAAAATTTATTATAAATTATAGTTCTTATATATTTTTCTTTTTATTTAAATCTCCGTTATATAAATTAAGGCAGAGAAAGTATTTTAAGACGGTGATGATTTTCGCCATAAAATACTTTCTTAAACAAAATTTAGAAATATTTAAGAAAAGAATAAAACTTAAAATGTTGCCCTGTATAATTCAGTTCATTAAACAATATCAGAATTTTTCGATTGATTTACAATTAATGCTAATTCACGATGAACTAATGATATTCGACTAAGTTCCTACTCAAGGGATTCAGAAGAACTGAAAGGGAGAATAACTCAAAAATTAAAAACATTTGAATAATTATAAGTAATCTTTTATTAATATATGCTTGTGATGAACCGTGTTTGCCATTATTAATAATTTTAAAACAATGTTTTGTAGTTCGAACAAATTAATTTGTGTGTCTATGGGAGGGTTTATGCCCCTGTAGTCAGTCCCCCAAGGATCCGTCCCTGTTCCTATCAAATATCATCATTAGCTCAAAAGTTAATGTTCTTGTATGTCTTCTCGTCAATATTTTGAATATTTTGTATTTGTGGAGCCAAATGAAAGAAAATTTGAGGATAAAAATTTGAAGGATTATATAGACTTTCCGATAGAAAAATTGATCTTGAGAAAATACAAATAAATAATAATAAATATTATTATTTATTTATTGAAATTGTAAAATATTGAAGTTATTTAAATGAAATATTTTATATATATATGTCAAGATATATAAAATATAACGTAAAAGAATATTTACATAAGACAACTTTTTTCTTTATAAATATAGAACATCTATTGGAAATATTTCGTATTAGATTATAAAATTATCCATTTTAAAGTTTAAAATATTAATTTTCTGGAAAATCGATAAGAAATTAATAAAGAAGAATTATCTACAAATATAAATTGATATTTTGAGACTAAGGTCTTTTTTCAATTAATAAGTAGTAAAAGAGAAATTTTTAAAACTTTGATAATAAAAGAGACAAGGAATATGAACTATGACATTTATTTTGATATTAAAATTCTAATTTGAAGAAATGATAAACTGAAATTTTTAGCTTATATGTTGAAGTTTTATAAATCTTTTTACGTGCGGTTTAGAACTTTTATAGTTTTAGTGTTTAATGTGGATATAATAAATACCCCAGTTTTAACTCTCAAATTTACTTTATAAATTATTTTATTTAATTCAAATTATTTTCTAAAAAATTCTTTATTTTCCTTGTTCTCTCGGTTGAAAAATTATTTTATCCAGTTTTCTTTTGTAATTTATATTCTGTAAAGAAGAATAACCATTCGAATATTTCTTTCAATAAGTTAGCTAAATAAAGAACTAACGTAGTTTTTGTTCGCATTCTAAATAAAAAATTGCGATTCTGTTTTTATACTGAATCATATTCAAGCGGATAAAAAGTAGTTTTAATAATATTTGTATTACATAAAATTACTTACATGTGTTATAGAATCACTGCTGCTCTTTACTAGTTACCAGTGAAAATGACAACCTTCTGTTTTAAACTTTTGTAATAAATAAAAAAAACTATTATTAAATTGTCAAAATTGAAAAAATAAAAATTTGAAGAGATTTAAATTTTTAAACATCAAAATATTTCTACATTTTACTACGAAATCGATGGAGAATTTGTAAAAAAAAAAGTATGTAGTGCATATATCATACAGGTCTAATAATTTATTGACAACGTAAATATACAATATCAAACGTACTTCATGGCTACGCCTTACATGACTTAATACAATTAAATATATATTTTATGACTAGCAAAAGTTAGAAATTTTATTTTTCGATTAATCTTACAAAATTTACAAAACAATAATTAACAACTGCACGAAATGAGGACTCGAAATTTCATCTAATGAATTTTATATAGAACCTGTTTAACTAATAATTAAATAAATGATTAAACATTCGAAAACGAAAATTAATTAACAATAATAATAAACAAATTTCTCGGAAACAATTCTATTGTAATGCAAGTTAATTTAATTTTTAAAAATCTGTCAGTTAAATGAAACGACTGCAGAAATCATAGAAATGTCAGTCATTGGAGAATTACATATCGGTCAGTATATACGATAAATTATTATTACTATCATCAAGAAACATTAATATTATCTTCAGATGAAATACTTAATTTGAAGAAACAAAATTTAGGGAGTTATGAATAAATGGAGAATATAAATAACGGGAACAAAAAATGGAGAATAAGAAGAATGTGGAAAAGCTAAAACAAGTCTAACTGAACAAAACTTTTATGCTAAGAAAATTAGCTTATTTCAAGTTTAATTTACTTAAATAAAACAATCTCTGTTTATATATATAGCTATATCCAAAGAAAACAAAATATATTATGATACGACCATTCATTCAATTCTTAACTTTCATCTGGAAATCGAATATTCTTGTCTACTACTTTCCATATTCATATTTTCAATGTTTTGATAACAGTTTTGTTTAATATTTTACTTTTTTATTTTCTCATATCCTTAATGTTAAAAAAATAGTCGTAAAAAGTTCGAGATATAATAAACAAGGAATCTAAAAATTTAAAACTGAAATACTTGATATTCTCGTCATTTTGTTTTGTTTTAAACAAATAATACAGGCATACCACCGAATTTCTGGCATTCTTGGTTCGAAAGCCTTGCAGAATTAACCCTTTTGTCGAGCCAGCCGTGGTTACGTATAATAATAATTCATTAGCACATATCTAATCCACCAATTATACACTTCCCATGTGTCTAAAGTATACCATGGAGAGCTAGAAACTTGAACTAATATATATTAAATGTAAATGTTTGACACCACCATTGACACTCTCGTCTATCTTAGAAAATATAGCTCAGCGAAACAAAATAAGAACATCAAAACATTACGGTATCGCAAGTGCAGAGTTAATGTAGTTACTTAAAAAGTCATGTATTGAAAATAGGATAGAACCTTTTTGTTGTCCTTCAAAATCACTTTCAAGGTCACTTATGTTGTAACATTTTACTAATCAGAGATAACGTTAAAGTTCCAATGACAAAATTAAAAGAGAACCATTTAATTTGTCTAAAACGATTTCTGGATTCAAATATGAGGACGGCATAATTTACATAAATAGACGGTATTTGTTTGTTTCATTGCTTAAGCGGGAAAAATGTTGGTTAAATTGGAGTCGTACATAAAAGTTGAAAATTTCGGATGGAATGAGAAGAAGGAGTTGAGCCGGTCCAATCCGGAACATGGTCAGTAGCTCGCATTTGGGTTCACCTCAAGCTAATTTAAAGCAGTAGCGTAGTGTAGTAGGGGCGGCAAAATTTCACAATAAATAATAATAATATCTTGTAAAAATTTGAACGATTTCATTTCATATTTTTGTCGCACCTACGATTCGAACCGATTGAAATGAGCACGAAATTTTTCATTACTTGTTCTGTGACAAAACTGAATTTTGGTCTTTTAAATTGAAATACAGTAGAACGTCGTTTATCCGAATCAATTGGGGACTGGGGTTGTTCGGATAACTTATTTTTCGGATAACCAATTATGTACGTATATGTCAAGATATATAAAATATAACGTAAAAGAATATTTACATAAGACAACTTTTTTCTTTATAAATATAGAACATCTATTGGAAATATTTCGTATTAGATTATAAAATTATCCATTTTAAAGTTTAAAATATTAATTTTCTGGAAAATCGATAAGAAATTAATAAAGAAGAATTATCTACAAATATAAATTGATATTTTGAGACTAAGGTCTTTTTTCAATTAATAAGTAGTAAAAGAGAAATTTTTAAAACTTTGATAATAAAAGAGACAAGGAATATGAACTATGACATTTATTTTGATATTAAAATTCTAATTTGAAGAAATGATAAACTGAAATTTTTAGCTTATATGTTGAAGTTTTATAAATCTTTTTACGTGCGGTTTAGAACTTTTATAGTTTTAGTGTTTAATGTGGATATAATAAATACCCCAGTTTTAACTCTCAAATTTACTTTATAAATTATTTTATTTAATTCAAATTATTTTCTAAAAAATTCTTTATTTTCCTTGTTCTCTCGGTTGAAAAATTATTTTATCCAGTTTTCTTTTGTAATTTATATTCTGTAAAGAAGAATAACCATTCGAATATTTCTTTCAATAAGTTAGCTAAATAAAGAACTAACGTAGTTTTTGTTCGCATTCTAAATAAAAAATTGCGATTCTGTTTTTATACTGAATCATATTCAAGCGGATAAAAAGTAGTTTTAATAATATTTGTATTACATAAAATTACTTACATGTGTTATAGAATCACTGCTGCTCTTTACTAGTTACCAGTGAAAATGACAACCTTCTGTTTTAAACTTTTGTAATAAATAAAAAAAACTATTATTAAATTGTCAAAATTGAAAAAATAAAAATTNTTGTTTTTATATTTTTCAATATATTTATTTTGTTTGTACAAAATAAAAAAATAATTTTTAAGGATACAATAGTCTTCATTAGGCTTAACATCGACGAAAATTCAACGCGAAGAGACACGCAACGGAGAAAAATTTCAACACGGGATAAATTAATATATTTTTTCGTACATAATTGGTTATCCGAAAAATAAGTTATCCGAACAACCCCAGTCCCCAATTGATTCGGATAAACGACGTTCTACTGTATTTCAATTTAAAAGACCAAAATTCAGTTTTGTCACAGAACAAGTAATGAAAAATTTCGTGCTCATTTCAATCGGTTCGAATCGTAGGTGCGACAAAAATATGAAATGAAATCGTTCAAATTTTTACAAGATATTATTATTATTTATTGTGAAATTTTGCCGCCCCTACTACACTACGCTACTGCTTTAAATTAGCTTGAGGTGAACCCAAATGCGAGCTACTGACCATGTTCCGGATTGGACCGGCTCAACTCCTTCTTCTCATTCCATCCGAAATTTTCAACTTTTATGTACGACTCCAATTTAACCAACATTTTTCCCGCTTAAGCAATGAAACAAACAAATACCGTCTATTTATGTAAATTATGCCGTCCTCATATTTGAATCCAGAAATCGTTTTAGACAAATTAAATGGTTCTCTTTTAATTTTGTCATTGGAACTTTAACGTTATCTCTGATTAGTAAAATGTTACAACATAAGTGACCTTGAAAGTGATTTTGAAGGACAACAAAAAGGTTCTATCCTATTTTCAATACATGACTTTTTAAGTAACTACATTAACTCTGCACTTGCGATACCGTAATGTTTTGATGTTCTTATTTTGTTTCGCTGAGCTATATTTTCTAAGATAGACGAGAGTGTCAATGGTGGTGTCAAACATTTACATTTAATATATATTAGTTCAAGTTTCTAGCTCTCCATGGTATACTTTAGACACATGGGAAGTGTATAATTGGTGGATTAGATATGTGCTAATGAATTATTATTATACGTAACCACGGCTGGCTCGACAAAAGGGTTAATTCTGCAAGGCTTTCGAACCAAGAATGCCAGAAATTCGGTGGTATGCCTGTATTATTTGTTTAAAACAAAACAAAATGACGAGAATATCAAGTATTTCAGTTTTAAATTTTTAGATTCCTTGTTTATTATATCTCGAACTTTTTACGACTATTTTTTTAACATTAAGGATATGAGAAAATAAAAAAGTAAAATATTAAACAAAACTGTTATCAAAACATTGAAAATATGAATATGGAAAGTAGTAGACAAGAATATTCGATTTCCAGATGAAAGTTAAGAATTGAATGAATGGTCGTATCATAATATATTTTGTTTTCTCTGGATATAGCTATATATATATATATATAGCTATATCCAGAGAAAACAAAATATATTATGATACGACCATTCATTCAATTCTTAACTTTCATCTGGAAATCGAATATTCTTGTCTACTACTTTCCATATTCATATTTTCAATGTTTTGATAACAGTTTTGTTTAATATTTTACTTTTTTATTTTCTCATATCCTTAATGTTAAAAAAATAGTCGTAAAAAGTTCGAGATATAATAAACAAGGAATCTAAAAATTTAAAACTGAAATACTTGATATTCTCGTCATTTTGTTTTGTTTTAAACAAATAATACAGGCATACCACCGAATTTCTGGCATTCTTGGTTCGAAAGCCTTGCAGAATTAACCCTTTTGTCGAGCCAGCCGTGGTTACGTATAATAATAATTCATTAGCACATATCTAATCCACCAATTATACACTTCCCATGTGTCTAAAGTATACCATGGAGAGCTAGAAACTTGAACTAATATATATTAAATGTAAATGTTTGACACCACCATTGACACTCTCGTCTATCTTAGAAAATATAGCTCAGCGAAACAAAATAAGAACATCAAAACATTACGGTATCGCAAGTGCAGAGTTAATGTAGTTACTTAAAAAGTCATGTATTGAAAATAGGATAGAACCTTTTTGTTGTCCTTCAAAATCACTTTCAAGGTCACTTATGTTGTAACATTTTACTAATCAGAGATAACGTTAAAGTTCCAATGACAAAATTAAAAGAGAACCATTTAATTTGTCTAAAACGATTTCTGGATTCAAATATGAGGACGGCATAATTTACATAAATAGACGGTATTTGTTTGTTTCATTGCTTAAGCGGGAAAAATGTTGGTTAAATTGGAGTCGTACATAAAAGTTGAAAATTTCGGATGGAATGAGAAGAAGGAGTTGAGCCGGTCCAATCCGGAGCATGGTCAGTAGCTCGCATTCGGGTTTGCCTCAGATTAATATATTGATAAGTTTATTTATACGTAAATTTAATATTTATTTTAAAGAAAATAATTATAAAACAGTAAACACCAAATATGTTTGTAAATATTTTTGTCTTTATAAGAAATGAAGAGCTTAAAATCGATTTTCGTTAATTGTGCTTAAAGAGTAGAATCCCGGTGTGATAAGTCCCGTTATGCTGATCTTCTCTGGAAAAACCGAACCGCCCGAGCGAAAGACAAAATTGCTTTGTCTCCGCCAACCGTTAGATCTACACGATATTAGTGTAAGTAGAGTTGACATATTTTTGGAAGATCCTTAAAATATATCAAAAATTGCTAAATTCCTTTTCTGCTACTGTACCCAATTAAGCGTTTAAATTATGTATTAATTTATTAGTTCGGTTTTCGTTCTTTGAGATTTGGCCCAAAAACGCGGCTTCCCCAATTAATTTAACCTGTGGCCCAATTAAACGGAATCGACTGTATTTTAGGACAAAAATGAAATCAAAATGTCCACGCCTTAAAAAAAGTGACAAAGTCCGCATTCTTGTAAAAACTTCCCATTATTAGAGCTAGGCATGTGAAGAGCTAGGTAACGTGGCTTCATCTAGTGGGGATGAAGGACGTAAATCTGGTTCCTTTTTTTAGAAATCGGATCTTTTCCGTAGTTCGACCGAAATTCACCAAACTGGAAAAATATCAAGCACATGTTTTCTGAAATATAAAGCCAGACAACACCTAAAAATGTCAAAATACTTTTTTGTTATTACGCGTCAAAAATGCGAAAGTCGACACTTTTGTTTTTTGAATATATCTTTTCTCAGAGTTAATTATATTTTCCAAAATATAATTTATGCACAGGACAAGGTTATATTGAGTTTTCTGACACCAAAATAATCAAAATCTGACACGGAAATTTTGTTTAAAAATTCGGACAAAAAAAAAAAACAAAAGTTACCCTAGTATCCTGGTCTTCCTCAGACAATAAAACCAGTGGCTGTCTGTTAAAAAAAAAAA